GTAGCTTTATGGACGTCAATCTTAATTTAATTTCTCTATATTTATTTTAAAATAAATGACAGACAACTTTCACTGGCTTCTGAAAAACCGACAAATTGACCTATTTTCTTAATCGATTAGTTTACCTTCACTGAGCGCTAACGTACATTGATCTCGTCGTTTTTACAAGCACTGAAACACAAGCTTTTACTATGAAAACATAACCGAATTAACAATTATTTGCAAAATATTAGACATTAAAGGTTTTTTTTGTTTTTTTTTGTTTTTCTCAGTTCGACTGTAGGTAACTTCTTTATCGATATGTATTAAAAGACTTACGAGGTGTCTGTAATTCTTTCACCTTAAGCGAGTACATGAAGATTTTTGATACCAATGGTGTTCAGGTGTTCCATCGTGGAGGATGTGATTCCACAACTAGCGGATTGTCCGTGGAAGTCCCATTTGGTGATGGGCATAGTATCACGCTCGCGATTCTTTTTTCGTACCGGTATAGTTACGCCAATGTCCAATATGCGATGTTATATCAACCCCTAAGCTCAGGTAACAAAAATGTTGAGTAATGATTTGAATTTAAAATTTCCCAAAAAATGCTGAAAAATTGGAAGATCATCAATAAAAACGGAACGAAATCGTTAGAGTGTTTAAATAAAAGGGCATAGAAGGGTCAACTCGGGGAAAATCGAAACTAGTTTCCTAGAAAGGATTCAACTAATTTTTATCATTTAATTTTCTGATTGTTTTCTCATGACTTGTAACACTTAATCATATTCTGCATCTATTCCTTGCAGCTCAATTGGTCCCATCTTGGAATATCAGTATCTCTGATACTACAACCTCGTCGATGACAGTGCAATGGTCTAACTTCCCTCTGACAAGTCAGTCCATTCAACGACTTTTAGTGGGCTACAGAGAACACAATTCAAACGTCAGTCTAATTTTTGAGACTCAAAGTTATTACAATACACATTACACTGGGAAGGTTCTTGGGAGTTACCAATACTATGACGTGCAATTAATTGCTGTGGCGTCAAATTCTAGCAATGGTACATTTTCCAGTAGGAAGGAGATCGCAAGGACAAACGAAGGAGGTAAACTCATTCCATTATTTCATGGTTGCTTGTCTTCTTTGGGTGAAAATCAATTGTACTTACTCCTTGTCATCTTTCTATTCCTTCTGCCTTTCAGTTCCAAGCAGTGCACCATCGAATGTTCGCTTGACAAATCTGCAGTCCCATGAGGTGAAAGTTCAATGGGATCCCATACCTCCAGAGACAGCTAATGGAATATTGCTGGGATATAGAGTGTTCTATCAAGAGTACTGGTATTCAGGTTTGCTTCAAAACATGGATACTAAGAGCCCCAATGTTCACATGCTGATACTAAGGGATCTGAAGTCAGCACAGAGATACCAAATATCGGTGGCAGCATTTACGTCCCAAGGAGCAGGATCGCAGTCATACTTGCGATACATTACAACAGGTCAGTTAAAAAAATTTTTTACGAGTAAATCGATATAGTAAATTCGGCCTTTTAGGCTATTCTTTTATAGTCAAATCGAGAATCGTTTTAACTTGATTCTGACAGGTCAGTTGTGTATTCGCCATTAATTATAACGCTTCTTAACCTACTGAAGTCTTGATTGGCTTTCTGTTGGGGACAGAAAAAATCCATAGAAATCCCTGGTGTTCATGGTTTTTAACCCTCAATATAAAATGGGGAGATTTTTCAGGTAATGACATAGTTGCAATTGCTCATGCGCATAGGAGCGCAGGTTGCACCATGTTATAATTGCCGATTTCTTGAGCGACATATTACACGAGGAAATAACAGCTGGGTTGAGTATGAGGAACAGATAATTACAGGTTTCCTGAAGGACCTCAATTTAACATAAAGGCAAAAATAGAAACGAAATGGACAGCCCATAATCAACTTCCAGAACGAAAAAATAGCTGTTTGAACATAGACTTGCTTGATCTTATCCCTCTCGCCTGGATGTTTCTTGTCATTGCTGTTCAATATTCAGTAAACATTTGCTGGAAGACTTAATCAAAAAACGCTGGTCAATTACTTATTTACAAATGCACTAGTATAGTTAGAAAAAACTCCTCCAAAAAACGATCTCCATTTTTGAAACATGAAACAGGCTTGGACCACAGCATGGTACTTTGTTATTACAGTCTTATAGAGATCCAAAGAAAGCTAAACCGGTTTAAGTTAGACTAATGATATGATTCCCATTTGAAAAGCTGATTTTTTCGTGGGTGTGAGAATAGTTCCTTGTACCCCTTTTTTGATAATTTCTATTTTTGTTAGTGACTCTTTATATACAATAATTTAGTCAACTGCAAATATTTTCAACAGAAAAGAAAAGGATATTTTGGTTGCACCTGCAGCAGACAATCGGCATTTCGAGAGCGTGATCATGAATGTTTTAAAATCGCTCATTATTGAATCTTCTTTTGATAAATTTTTAGGTTGTGGTGGACATTTAAACCAGTCATTTGGACAAGTGCACATCGGCTCAAACAGGAACTACTACCATTTAAGCTGCACCTGGAATATCGTAAATGTGGGCATACAGCGAGCAGTCACCTTCATTTGGATAAATGACCTTTATATGTCTTATTCGTCGTAAGTAAAAAAAAAGAAGCGCTAATGTTCATGCTGAAAATAAGCATTTAACGGCAACTTTACAACTGCGCATAAAAAACGACTTCAATTCCATGGGCACCAAAATAAGTTTATAATCTCTTGATGAGCACCAAATCAGTTCTGTCTACTACTCGCGTTTAACACAACCGTTCGGCTCAAAGTGGCTGCATCCCTTGACGTTAGCCATCCACAATTCTATGAGTTTCACTATGGGCAATCTTAAACAGATCAGATTACTAACGTTAGACGACGTTCTCCATTTTTCCACGAAGGGTAGAGGCACATGTGTGCCTTATACATTACAAAAACTGCTGATTTCTTATTCAGCAACGTGGCATAAAAGTTTTGCACTTTCTATCATTGATAAACACCGACCAGACCATTATTTACGAGGTTTTTCTTTCTCTAGTAACAACTCTTATAAATTTTTATGAGAATGAACACTATATCGAGTAGAGTGACTCGATGCCGAAGGGTATCAGGACACCATATCAGGCTTCTAATGGGCTCATTGCGTATTTTGCTACGGTGGTTTCTCTTAGCTTTTGGAATCGTCAAATTTACGCTTGAATTCAATTATTGGTACTTACTTCATTCATAGACAGAGACAAACATGTAAGCCTCTATGCAGATCTTTTAGTATCCATAACTATTGGCCATTTTTTCTTGACCAGGAACAGGAGTGGGGACCAGAAAATTATCAAGGTGTCGTTAAAAAGGTTACAGGGAGTCCAGGATAACAGGCATCCCATCAAAAAAGGGATATTTTTTAAGAGCGCTTGTCTGTAAAAATCAGACAAATTCTAAATTTAATTTTTACAGACAAGCGCTCTTAAGTCGCTTCATATCTCAAAAACAAGATATTACATCCAGCAGTTATGGGACACTTGCTTTAATATGAGTAATTGTATATGTTTGCAGTGATTATATAAAGATCCTGGACGGAAATGGCTCTGTAGTTCTACATCAACATGGGTACTCTGGTATTCAGGAGAACATTCACTTAGAAGTTGAATTTGGAAACACTGAAAACATCACCATGCAAACCTCCCTTTCGAGTTCATACAGTCACTTTCAGCTTAGTTACGGGACTTTGAAAAGAGGCCTCCAGTCAGGTTAGTATTTGGAATATCGACCTTCCACATAGTCAATCACGTCATAATTGCTTTCTATATTAATTGTAATTGGTTACCTCGAATTATCGCCCGACACGGGGGGACGTTTCTTCTCTATCAAAGTAAGCCTCATTTTCAAGTCTTTTTAAACTACATAATTCAGTGCATGTTAAATACCAGAAGCTTTTTTTTACCGAGTTGAATACGTTCACGTAGGTCTTCCCAATTCAGAAACTCGTGTCGCTGGAAGGTGACACTTTAAGTAAGCGACAAAATGGCAGTCTCAGTAAACGTGAACTGAAGTCATGATCTTTCAATTGAAGGAGAAGGCTTCCATCGCAACCAGATTGGTTTCTAATAATATTCTGTCACTGAGAGTGAATCCATACTTGTGAGAATATTTTTGTTAGTCTGATAATCACATTCAACATCCAAATGAAATCTTTTTCCTCTTCGGACAAGTTATCACAGTCCACCGTAAACTTGAACAACGTGCCTTGTTAAACATTTACTTATCAACTTCCAGCTTTGTTGACCGCAAATTGGAACTTTACAGTGGAAAATGTCACTTCTACAAGTGTTAGCGTCTTCTGGATTAACCTGGAATTTTTGATTAGTGAACAAGTTTTGCATTACATCACTTTACTAAGAAGTGCTAATGGTAGCAGTGTCTTAAATGCTGTGATCACAAGTGGAAACACCACGTCTGGGAATATTTCTGGGTTATCAACATACACGGAGTATCAAATAACCATTGTTGGCGTTGGAAGCGACGGGCAAGCGCACAACAGTTCAAAGTCAACATTTTGGACAGAAGAAGGAGGTAAAGTTCACCTAACTTGTCAACTCCGTAAATTTATCGTTTCATTTTTCATTTTCCAGTTCCAGTTTTCAGTTTCCGTTTTTTTAGTTTTAAGTTTCTAGCTTTCAGTTTCCAGTTCAAGGCGGTAACGAGGGTAACGCTGATTCATATTTCCATTGACTTACAACTGAAAAAGCCGTTTTTAATTGTACTTTAAGGAACTTTCTAACGCGTTGATTTAAATGTTGTATCGGGTGCTACACTACCGCATGTGCAATATAAGTTACAATTTTTTATTCCATCGGCCTCTACAAAGCCTATTGGCAAGTGACATTTTTCTCTTTCTGCACCATGGAAAAAACATGAATTTATTTCCCTATTTCAGTTCCAAGCAGAGCCCCATCCAATGTTCGACTGTCGAATCTACAGCTAAATGACATACGAGTACAGTGGGATCCACTTGCACAGCATTATGTAAATGGACGACTACAAGGATACAGAGTGCGTGTTTATGAGTATGGATATTACTATTATGGTTTCCTTATACAAACTTTGGAGACCGGTGGTCCCAATGTTCACACGATGAAAGTAGGAGGGCTGAAAGCTGCACAACGATACCGAATAAGCGTAACAGCTTTTACTTCGAAAGGCGAGGGCCCACAATCTTACTGGCGATACATTACAACAGGTATTTTCTCAAAATACACATAATTTGATCATGAGGAATTTCGAGATTCTCTCTGATGACATCGCCATGCGCTTTGATACAGAAATTGCAATTAAATGAAGCTGCCGATAGCTCACATACCTATCTGTTTTCAACAATTATCACAATATGAGTTTTCATACCTATCGTCGCCAAAACAAACGTAGTGTTTATTGATGATGGTGATAGTTAGACTTGAAAAATCTTTGATCGAAGTACTATTGGCTAATTCGGCGAATTGACACGTTTAAATCAGCGTTAGGTGGGTTACTTATAACTTTTTGCAGATTGTCATCTACTTTTGATCTCAACAATTATAAAATAAGTAGCGGCTGTGATGGTGTCAAATACTTCTTTGGATTGAAAGCAGCCACATATCCACAAGAACATAAGACAAAGAAATAATGTGTATTTATGCAAAAAAAAAAAATTCTTTTCATCTCTGGAGATGTTTTTTCTATGCATTGCCGTTTTCTCTTCCCCAGGATGCGGTGGAAACGTAAATCAGTCATTTGGCGTGATACAAGTTGGACAAAGGGGTTACTATTCAAGTTCTGTAAAATGTGACTGGGAGATTGGAAACTCAGGAATCAACCAACCCATCCTGATTGTATCTTTTGAAGATCTATATATCTCAAGCTACTTGTAAGTTATACGGATTCTTAGCCCTGAGACTCTACCATGCTGCGCAACCGCTTTTACCCAGCTATGCTCTCAAAATGTGGTAAGAACACAAAAGTGGTACACGAGGCGCAGCCGAGTGTGTCACCGATGTTCTTACCATATTTTGACGTTCTCTGTGATCTATTTCTATTTATTTTATAAAATAAAGAATTAAAATATACGGAAAAAAAAGTCCTAATAATGACGTCATCTATACGTCTGTCCTCCAATAGATCATAAGTGAGAACCAATCAGAATGCGTGCATAACTGAGCTTACTATACAAAGTTGATTAGATGAATATAGAAACATGCTTGTAATGCCTCCTTGGAAATAAGGAGTAAAAGGAAAATCACTACAAATGGCCAAAATAACATCTGACTATTAACCAAAAAAGACTAACAAAAATACTCTACAGGCCCTATAAGATGCGTTGATGGTGGAGGTATTTCATGTTATTTCTGTTGTTGTTATTGTTATTCATGTTATTTTTGTTGTGGTTTGCTGTGGCTCGGTGTTAGAGCATCAAAGCATTATCACGATCAGACAAAAACATATTTTTTTTTAAATTCAACCATGTTTGACAACCTTTCAAATTGAAATTTCAGTCTCGCGTTTACGTAGCTCCTGTATTTAGGAAATATTCTTCGAGTTTCTTACCCTTTTTAAACGGGTTTAAAGACTGGCCGACCCATCTACCAGTCTCATCAGTGTTTTTTGTCTTTGAAAAACTTTCTTCTTTATTTTGATAGAGAATATTTGAAGATCATCGATGGAAATGGGGTAACAGTATTTCATCACACTGGATATTCATCTTCTCCTTTGAAAACGTCCCTGCTCGTTAATTATGGGAGTGGAAATAATGTCAAGGTGCAGATTTACTTCTACAATAACTGGAGTCAGTTCAAGCTTAAATACGGAATCGTAAATCAGGACCTCCAGTCAGGTGGGTTGTTATGTCTGCATCAGATATCTTGGACGACGAGAATCTCGAACAAGAATCACTTCATATTACTTGCATTCACTTGGTTACCTTTAGGATTTAAGACATCAATTTTAGGTGGCTTCTTAGTATGTAGGTTGTTTCCGATTCCGGAGCTTTCTCCCTTTTCCAGTATAAACGTGTACTTTGTAGTTGTACTTATAACAATACCCTTCAATAACTATTATGGATTTCTTTGATTTCTTAGCTGTATTTGTCTCAAACTGGAATGTAACTATTGGAAACACCACAGAGAAAAGCATCGGGATCCAGTGGGAAAATGTGAACGAAGTGCTGAATCAGAAAATTCGTCACCTCTTCGGTCTTCTGCAGACCTCCAATGGAACCATTTTGAACGCCAAGATCATGTCTGGAAATACAACTTCGGTGGTATTCGTTGGACTTTTATCATATAGACAATATTCTGTTGCTATTATTGGCGTTGCCAATGACGGACAAGCCTATAAGAGTGCTAATATCACAGCCTGGACGGACGAAGGAGGTAAATGTTGAATGCAAAATGCTAATTAGTGTCACAAAGTTTCTTATAAAAAATGTTATTGATGCTATCAAAAATAGCCGTGTGATGGTTATCTCTTCAATCATATTCAATTTCGTTAGTTGTGTACATGCACACTTCTTCTGTTGTGTAATCATAAAAACTTTCCCAGTAGAAGTAATTTTAGTGCTTCCAAGATAATCGTGACTTTTCCATGGTACACCATAGAATTCTTTTGATTTAATTTATTTATTTATCAACTTCTAACCGTGGCAGGTGTTTTTTTCATTAACAAAGTGATTATGAATATGCATAACCCGTAATTTTCAACTCAGCTCGTATATTTCATTCGTAGTAAAACATTTTAAAATTTTCGCTTTTCTTTATTTTCATTTTTCGTCTTCTAAAGGTCGTGTAAATGCGACTAAAGAAACAACGGAGAGAGGGTTCCATTCACTACTTCATCCCTTTCCTGTTTTCTTACGGTTCGGATGACAGTCAGTTTCTCCGTCTGGTAGTTCTGTGAGCACAAATTGGCTACGATAACCCTTCTTATCCTCTTTTTTTTTTCAGTTCCTAGCAGAGCACCACTAAACATCGCCTTCACAAAAGTGGAGTCAACTGAGATAACTGTTCACTGGGACCCTCTTTCATTGCAATATGTCAATGGAAGGTTGCAAGGGTACAGAGTTTATTTCCAGGTGTTCACTTATTATTATTCTCCGCTTAAGAAAAACAGCGTAACCGTCAATGCCACTAAAATAACTTTGACAGGATTGAATCCGGGCCAACGGTATGATGTTTCCGTGTCCGCTTTCACTTCCAAAGGAGAAGGACCGCTTTCCTTCCGCTACTACGTCACGACAGGTATGTCCAAAAACAACTATCGTTTTTGCAAACATGTATTAATAAAAGAACTGTTCTACAGTAAATGGGGGACAATTTGTTAGTTTATCCTAAAAGGCTCTGAAGTGGTTCCATATGTGGTTCAATTCGCGCCTTATGCGATTAATATTATTCTCAGAAAATATCTAAAAATGTTTCCTTGGAATATAGAATTCAAAATACTGTAATATTAAGTAAAAGCAGGACAAGAAATTTGATTTCTCCCATTTCTCAAATCATATCTTAAACCATCAATTTAGTCGCATATATTAGAGCTATATTCTAAGAAATATTTATCAAAACGGGAGTGGCCTTTTTCCATTTTCCGATCCCTATAACTTCGTGATTTATATAAAATTAACAATCCAGTCGTTGCATTAATGCGTAAGGCGTAGCTCGATTTATAGGGTGAGACACGTTTCTAAAAGTCAGAAGCGAGAAATGATAGTCTATCAAAAATAATGTTTCATTTTTTTCCCTAGCTTGTGAGATCACTTTAAACCAATCCTCTGGACTGATAGATGTGACACAAACAGATTATAAGAATCTATATTGCGATTGGACAATTGGCAATTTTGGAATAACGAACGCGGTTGTACTTTTTCTATTCGACCAACTTGCCTTTGATTCCTGCAGGTAATTAATATGAGTTTTCAATTATACCATAACTTGATGGCGAACCTTTTCTCAAATAAGAACGTGTACTCATAAGATACATTACTTTATACGCTGTCAAGTGTCATACATCATATAAACAAATGAAAACAGTTGTAAATGCACTTTTGATAGCTGCAAAGAGCTTTTTGGAGTCTTTATAGCATATAAACAGACGCCTCTTAATTAAGAAATTACGAAGGGCATTTATAGGTATACTATAGCTCTCCTGTTGTGTGCCAGCTTCAGATATTGTACCATTGTACAGTTACCACCATTTTATTAGTTACCAAGCTATTTACGGCGCGCTGAAAAACATCGAAGACTGATGCCTTGTAATTTATTTGTTCACATCGTGTGAACCAAGCATCTTATCATAGATATCCGGAAAAAAAACATGAGGTGCACAGAGTCTTTTTCGGTTTTCACTGGATCATGAGATATGATAGATTAAAAACATAGAGAGCTATCCATCATTCCTTTATACCAACGGAAGTTTTTTTCGAAACGTATTCTTGAGCTATAGGTGTATCTGTAGTTCGAGATATCTGATAACCACTGCTGTCACAATCAAAATTTTTTGTTACCTTTCAGAGAGAAACGAGCACCGTGTTCATTTTTTTCTGCTATAGTACAGGAAGCGCATTTTAACTTTTGCATTTTTTGCCAATTTTTTTCAGCGAGCATTTGAAGATCTTCAGTGGCAATGGAACCCTCAAATATCATAAGGAGGGTTGCTGTCCTAGCAATCCAGGATCCTTTGTTGAAATTCCTTTTATGCAATCCGATAACATCGAAGTCAATATTTTATTGACTGAACTACAAAGCCGCATTACATCTCACTTTGTGATACTAAAACATGGCCTATATTCAGGTACGGAAAAAAGGTTACTTGCCGTTGCGCTTTAAATTTGCACAATCTCTTTACTTTTTACATCCTTTTTAAACATCTCATTATTTTATTCGATCGCTGGCTCTAAAGGTTTGTTTTTTTTTTCCGCCTCTGCTGTCCATTTCATCGCTTGGTGTTCCATTTCATGTACTAAATTCTACAATTATGCCTAAGAATGAGTAAGCACTTCTTGAATTTTTACTCTTTTAGCGACTTATACTCCTGGCTGGCTAGCATCAGTAGACAATATCACCAGCTCAAGTCTTTTGATTCAGTGGAGTAACCTAACCAGGTTTATAAATCGGAGAATACTTCACTACATCGTCCTCCTCTCATCTTCCGATAGAAGCGCACCATACAATGCTATTGTAGATGGAAGTAGACTAGATATAGAAATTAATGGACTGGACCATTCACAAAGGTATCACATGGAAGTGTTTGGAGTGGACGCACTTGGCTATTGTCACAAGGCTCTAGAAGTGAACGCCACTACGAAAAATGGTAGGGCAAAACCGTACAAGCTTGGGTCTTTTTGCTACTCGTTTGTGTGGCCATGAGAAGTTGTGCGGCCAAATGTACCATTAAGATGTAAACTAAAATTGATCCTGATGTTGTTTTTTCCGTAGAGCTTGCGAGGAGAGACTTTTAGCTCTACACGTATTGACCTGTTGACACCCTCTCGAAAATCTTCTCACAACCTGCTTTTGGGTGGCGGCGACTATATTATTAATTTGTGAATTAAATCCCCTTGCCAAGGTTATTCGAAGGGTGGATAATGCTATCCACTAGATAAATCGCTTTCCGGTGGACGGCAAAGAATGTTTTGTTGACAGTCATCCGCTGGATAGCGACTTATCCGTTGGATAGCGTTATCCGCTCTTTGAAGAACTGGACCCTGATGGTGATTTCCTTATCGACACTTACGCTGTGCCACGCTACACCAAGAGCTATGGAGAAACGTCGCCTAAAGATTCAGCGATAAGATCGGGCACTAGGTGATAATTTTGCTCTGTCCGAAAAACTGTTAAAAATCTTAATAGTAATGTAAGACTTCAAAGCAAGGTACAAATGCTTAGAAATTTATTAGGATGGCGAAGAAATCTCGGTCCAAGCTGCAAGGACTCAAGCCAGCAGCGATCGTCTGGTCAGATACTCTGTCAAATGTGCGCGAGAGAAGGCCATGACAAGGATTAAACTAACTTGCAATATAATAATTGGTAATAATGATAATGATGATAAAATGTATAAAGCCGTAAAATGATAAAAATATTCAAACAGCTTCATTCTGAGACTTTTTGCTGAATTGTTGCTTGGTTCTTTTTCAGTGTCATGCGGATATCGACCAAGTGGCATGCGTATTGTTGGTGGGTCAGTCGCCCCAATCAATAGCTGGCCCTGGCAGGCGATGTTGCGGGACAGTTATGGTTGGCAGTTTTGCGGGGGTAGTTTGATACACCCGTTATGGGTTGTCACGGCCACTCACTGCGTACAAGGAAAATCCGCGTCGTCGGTGAAAGTCGTGTAAGGAGAAAATTTTCTTCACGCTGAACTGTCTTTTAAAATTAAGCTATCAGCAGTTGATAGTCCTAACAGTTTAGTAACAAGTTTTGAAAATGCACACAATCTTGCAAGCTGGAAATTAACTGACACTCAAAATGATTCAAAAAGATTTTTATTGCATACTGAAATCTCAAATCTTTTCTTATTGTACATATTAATGACATATTTTTTGCTTTTATTGGATTCCAGATTGGGGGCACATTACAAATCTTATGGTAATGTCAGCACAGAGCAGAATTTTGATGTTGTAAAAATAATTGAACATGAAAGCTACGATAGTCCATACAGTTGGAGCAACGACATAGCTCTACTACAGCTATCAAAACCGGCTAAGCTTGGAAAAGGAGTTGGGCTTGTTTGCCTTCCGGATATGAGTTTTCAGCTCCCTTTCGATAGTCCTAACAAGAAGTGCTGGATAACTGGCTGGGGAAAACTTTCATACTATGGAATGTCTCCCAACGAGTTGATGCAAGTTGATATACCTCTGGTATCAAAACAGCGCTGTCTCGCGTCATACCCAGGTAAAATCGATGACTCCATGATATGCGTTGGCCAAGATGAAGGTGGAATAGGAGGTTGTCAAGGCGACAGCGGTGGACCACTTGTGTGTGAGTTCAGTGGAAAATGGTATCTGGAGGGAGCTACTAGTTGGGGAGGAATTCCATGCGCAGACCCATTGAAATACACTGTATATGCCAACATTCGCCATTTAAAGTCGTGGATAACAAGCAAGATGTCCTCTTTCCCTGTTCCTGGTGTGACGGCATTTCACCTATCGTGCAATTTTGACAATAGCCTGTGTTCTGGCTGGGATCAGTCTTACTCAGATGATTTCGACTGGACGCGGCGTCGGGGTTCAACTCCATCTTGGGCCACAGGACCATCCTATGACCACACTAGTGGATCAGGTTTGTGCTTGCTATCAACCGAGTCAATGGGCTGCACTGTCTAATTTATCCTGACCCAGAAACCTTAGCATTAAGAGACTATTCATTCACGTAATTCACATTCACAAGATATTTGTTAAGATTATCCGACTGTCTACCGTTGCTATGGAAATAAATCATTTTGAAAAATGTCTTAACCTTTCAAGATAAATTGGTATTTATGACTGAGATGATAACGCAAGTTGACCAACCTGCTGACGTTTGAAGCGTTAGTCCTTACTCGGCTCTACTTACTTACGTACTTACTTAGTCACTTACTTACACCAGGCCATCTTTTCTTCACATTGGCCATTCGATATAAACAAACTCGTGCGTTAATGTTGCCGATGAATTTCACAGAAACTTAGATAGAGACATTAACGTAATTTTTTTTCATATTTATGTATTTCGTTGCTATTCAGGATATTATATGTACATCGAGGCATCGTCCCCTCGAGATATAGGTGATAAAGCAAAGCTTGAGCTCTCCTTATGCGGAAATGGAGACGAGGCTTGTCTTACATTCTACTATCACATGTACGGACTCACTATGGGGACCCTGAAAGTCTTAAGCGGAAATGTGGTTGTATTCAGTGCCTCAGGAAACAAAGGCAACTACTGGCAGAAGGCCGAAAGAACTATTTATTTGGACAAAGTTGTAAGTCGCTAATGCAATATAATTTTTTTTTCAACACTCTTCTAATCCAAGGTGTTAAAAACTCTTATCTGAAATGATTGCTTATCACAACGCAACGTAGGCAGAGTGGTATGTGTGAAAATATAAGTTCTTTGATTACAGCATGAATGATTCCATGTGGTAAAAGTTCATTGATAAAGTGGGGTAAGATTTAACTGTCCAGTTATACAGCTCTACATTCTGTCTATTATAAAAAGTCCTTTACTCAAATTTTGTCCTAGGTCACGTTTGAGGGGATAGTAGGATCATCTTATGAGGGAGACATTGCCATTGATGACGTTTCAATTAAGAGAGGGCGCTGTCTAACATCGACAGGTGCATAGCAAAAAACATTTTAATAGGCGTTACGCGTGTTTCTCTCTTTTCCTTTCACAATCTTGAAAACTGCAGTCAGGCTAAGTCACTCAAAATCAATTCTCACGGGTTGAACATGTCAACAAACAACCCCAAAGTTTTCATAAAGAGCTCACTCAATAACCTCTCCAGCTATAGCTCTTTCCCGGCCTTTATACACACTTCACTTCTCAAAATGTCTTTCTTAGTATTAATATTACACTCAAAAAATGAGAATTAATTTATATCAGTTCAAATCTATAGTTCTTTTCTGAGCTCGGAAAAATCACCTACGAGAACAAAGGAGACGGTTCTTACCTCGTAAAGAGCCCAGTGATCAAACTTGTTGAATAATTATATACAAGAAAATCACGATTAGTCTTATCTTATCTTATTGAATATTTTAGCAACCACTTCGTGCAATTTTGACAGTGGACTGTGTTCTGGTTGGTGGCAGTCTTACTCCGATGTCTTTGACTGGACACTAAATAGTGGATCAACGCCATCTTATAACACTGGCCCAGACTACGATCACACCACAGGCTTTGGTGAGACTTCTTAAAACTAACATCTACGATTACATTTCAATTTCTCTGGTTAACAATATATTAAAATGCCGTAGAAAGTCAAATCAAGCGCCTTTTTTCTCCTTTGAGAATCGCATGGAATTTAAAGTAGGTGAGTCCCCTTTGTCTTGGCTGTCACTCTGTCACTTTCAAAGAAATAACGAAATACGTGTGCGACGGGATGCTGTCTGCTCTACATAAAACCATTCGGAGAAAAATGGCAGGGGTGTTTTATCGCCCGCGAGTTAGTTTAAAGTATTGAACAACGCGAATCGTCGAGAGGTTTTTATGAGATCTGACTCTCAATGAAGGCCTGCAAGAACACTACTACTTTTTTCATTCAGTACGCTCGATAGTTGACAGTTCCTGTCATTATGACAAATACCAGCGAAATCCTAGCGTTGATATGTGAAAACTATCGACTAAAACAAAGTTGTTAAAACAGTATTATTGACAGATTTGTTCCATTTCATATCAAACACTTACCACTTTGGCCACAAGCCAAAAATGATTTTTGGCCAGACCAACCCCTGTGGACAGCGATCGAAAGTTTAAATTTCAAAGATTTTGTTCAGCGTGCAGCGACTGCAACAATGTAGCTCACGGAATTCTATTTTGCTGCAAGTTACCAGGTGTAGTCAGTTAGTTCACAGACAAAATATGGAAACTTCAGCTGAAATACTTTTCATACCAGCGTGATCAGAGGAGACCCTTCTCTTCGACCTTAATTTGCATATCAAAAATTCACTACTTTGTACGAAAGAATTCTCAAAATGCAGGCGTTAAGCGGGCTGAAAAAGCATATCAGTGTATAGTTTATACACCAAAGAGGTCACAGATTGTCTCAAACCCGCGGGTATATCTCTAGCTTCCATCCACCAA